AATTTTACATTCTGCTTTTCAATTTTTAAACCTCTAATTTCTTTTTCTACCACTAAACAGATTCTTAACACCAATAAATCTGATTTTTTTCTTTTTCTTTTCTTTTTTTTTTTTTGTTTTGGTGATAGTGGTGGTGCTGGGGATGGAACCCAGGGCCTCATGCATACTAGGCAAGCATCTTACTGCTGAGCTACACTTCTGAGCCCCACTCTCCTGGAAATGTTATGGAAGCAAATGTTTTCTGAGCTTTCATTCAGTGTTTGTGAACATTAAGTTCAGATACAGCTTTAATGCTACTTTGTTTTTTCCTCAAACACAATTCTTCATAAGACCTTCATTTTGTCAACTATAGTGATTTTTAGGCACTTAATGACCATATACTGGGAAAGAATGACCCATCTCTACCCTGAGGGCAACACAGAGAAGCAGGTGATGTATGGGCCACCCATGTTGGGTGGTTGACTAGTTGCCCCCTGAGTATATCATTAACTGAGGCGGTGGGGGGAGTGTCTTTAGGACACAGCCTGAGGTTTCTTCTCCATGTCTCCTTTTCTTCCTACTATTAGCAAAGCCACTCAGACTCTCAGGAAGTTCTCTGGAGAGCTGCCTGCATATTTAGGTGACCCTGTCTGTGGAATTCTCAGAGCAAACATAGCAGCGCCCAGCTGGAACCTCTTTGTGAGAGGCTAGAACTAGAATTTACTGGGGCTGGAGGGGGAGTCTCAAACCTTTTAGATTTTTAAATACACAGGAGACTCAAAATACAGTGTTATATTGAACACCAAAAGGAAAAAGATATGCCTGCTTGTTATCTTCTGCAGTACTGTTTTGCTGCTCTTGAAAGCTCATACCTAGGTACACAAACCTTCTTGATATTCAGCTTTTGCATAGAAAGCAAATGCTAATACCTCACAGGATCAACAGAGGAAGAAGAAACAATTCGTGTAGTCAAAAAGAGGTATTTGGAAAATGTTCTTTGGCCCTATAGCCACACTTCTCATGTTTTCTAGCTTTTGAATCTTGGCACTATTCTTCCATGATCACTATGATAATTTCCATCCTAAACAAACACTTACTTGTGTAGGAAAAAGAAATGGAGCCCTGGAGCCTATTTCTGTTTTCCTCACTCTGTCCAAGAAAAGGCCAGTCAATCAACAGTTTTGTCTTCACTTGAAAAGTCAGTATTGGGAAGGTCTGAATCTGAGAGTGGAAAGGGCTAGGACTGGTGGGAGAGGCAGAAAGATGGTGACCCAAGGACACAAGGTAGGGATGGTTTCCCTCCTAGCTTGGTGGGAGCCTAAGGAGGCCGCTGGCCAGGTGGTCCAGTCTGGCCTTGAACATTTAGATTGGATTAGAAACAAACACAGACACTGCTGGGGTGTGAATGCCAGTCACCCCACTGGCTGGGTGGGTGACTTCCCCTCTCTCTGATCAGTCTTCTCAGCTTTAGGGCAGGGATGAAAAAAATACCCGTGGCACACAAGCTTTGTGAGGCCCAAAAAATTAACACACATCAGGAACTCAGTACCTGGTAAGTATCAAAAGTTCAGTACATGTTCTCTGTGATTGTCATCAGGATCAAGATAGAGGCTTGCTGTGGAATTTGGGTTGTCATCCCATTTACTGTAGGAGGAGAGTTCACCCAACTCTGCTTAAGTGGCAACCTTAACAATTTCATTCTCTTCAATTCCATCTGCAGGCCCAGGTACAAATGGGATTCCTAAAAAATCTCTCTCTTTAAGTACTAAATAATTTTTCTTCAACCCATTTAAACATACTGAGTTTTTTCCTGGGTTAGGTCTCACTGAGAAGTGTTTATGATATCTGACAACAACCAGAATTTAAAAAATAAGATAACATTGAAACATGGATGGAGTACTCTCTTCTGCACATAATTTTGGCTTCCTTCAGTTACCTACAATGCAAGTACTCATTTTAGAAAAGAATGACACCAATTCCATTCTATTACATATGGCTTTCCAGTTTTCCCAGCACCATTTGTTGAAGAGGTTATCTTTTCGCAAATGTATATACTTATGGCCCCTTTGTCTAGTATGAGATGACCATATTTATGTGGGTTTGTCTCTGTGTCTTCTGCATGTCTGTTTTGGCACCAATACCTTGCCTTTTTGTTACTATAGCTCTGTAGTATAATTTAAGGTCTGGTATTGTGATGCCTCCTGCACCACTTTTCTTGCTAAGGATTGCTTTGGTGGCCTGTGCCTCTTATTTTTCCAAATGAATTTCATTCTTTTTTCTAAAGAATGTCATTGGAATTTTAATAGAAATTGTATTTGATCTGTATTGTGTTTTGATAGTATGGTCATTTTGACAATATTAATTCTGCCTATCCAAGAACATGGGAGAGCTTTCTATCTTCTAAGGTCTTCTTCGATTTCTTTCTTTAGGGTTCTGTAGTTTTCATTGTAGAGGTCTTTCACCTCTTTTGTGATATTGATTCCCAAGTTCGTTCGTTCGTTCTTTCTTTCTTTCTTTTTTCTTTTCTTTTCTCTTTTGAGGCTATTGTGAATGCAATAGCTTTCCTGATTTCTCTTTCAGCTGATCCATCATTGATGTGTGAATATCATTGATTTACAGGTGTTAATTTTATATCCTGCTACTTTGCTGAATTTGTTTATGAGTTCTAGAAGCTTTCTGATGGAGTTTTGGGGGGTCTTCTAAATATAGAATTATGTCATTGGCAAATAGGGATAATTTGGGCTCTTCTTTTCCTATTCGTATCTCTTTAATTTCTTTCTTTTGTCTAATTGCTCTGGCTACGGTTTCAAGGACTATGTTGAACAGCAGTGGTGAAAGAGGGCATCCTGGTCTAGTTCTGGTTTTTAGAGGAAATGCTTTTAATTTTTCTCCATTTAGAATGATGAGATCCCATCTCACTCCAGTCAGAATGGCAACTATCAAGAATAAAAGTAACAATAAATGTTGGCAAGAGTGTAGGGAAAAAGGTTCACTCATACACTGCTGGTGGGACTGCAAACTGGTGCAACCACTATGGAAAGCAATATGGAGATTCCCTAGAAAATTTAGAATGGAACTACCATTTAACCCAGTTATCCCACATCTTGGTTTATACCCAAGGGACTTACAATAAGCATACTACAGTGACACAGGCACATCATTGTTTATAGCAGTACAATTCACAATGTCTAAGCTATGGAACCAACCTAGGTGCCCTTCAACAGATGAATGAGAAAGAAAATGTGGTACATTTACACAATGGAATATTACTTAGCCATAAATAAGAATGAAATTATGGCATTTGGTATGAAATTATGGTAGATGGATGGAACTGGAGAATATCATGGTAAGTGAAATAAGCCACTCCCAACAAACCAAAGGCTGAATATTCTCTATGATATGTGGATGTTAATACAAAATAAGGGGGTGAGGAGAAGAATAGAAGTTCATTGGATTAGACAAAGGAGAATGAAGGGMAGGGATGGGGGATGAGAATAGGAAAGACAGTAGAATGAATCAGATATAACTTTCCTATGATAATATGAGTACACAACCAGTGTAACTCCAGATCAAGTACAACCACAGAAATGGGAAATTATACTCCATGTATGTATAATATGTCAAAATACGCTCTACTGTCATGCATACCTGAAAAGAACAAATAAAAAGAAAAGAATGTCATCAAAATGGCTAACTATATTCTGCCTCATATGTAATTAAAACCTATTTGAGTCTTTTTTGAATGCCTGCAAGATTAGTATTTTTCAAGCTTCACTTACACTTAGAAGATCATGCAATAAATTATTTTTTAAAGTGCAGCAGAATAGAAACAATTATTATGAATCCTATGCAGGGGAAGTCTTATTCTGCAAGATCTCTATTTCTGTTTTCTATACCTAAGTAAATTTGATGGTATGGGTACACTGGGGTTGTGATATATTATTTTACTTATGTGGGTCCCAACCAAGAGTTTAACAAAGACTGTACTACTGGAAAGTTGGCACAAGTCCTTCACTTAAATTATTATTATTTCTCAGGGATTTTTTTCTCAGTTCTTACTCATTGTAAATATACTTACGTTTTTCAAAAGGATAGCAACACCCAATCCAAGTTCTCCATTAACAAATCTCAGTAGCCTAACTGTAATAATGAATTGTATTTCCCCCTTTAGACTTTGTGAAGGTGCCAATGTGAACCGGTTTGCCCTGGCAATCACTCCTTCATCATTTACAACTTGATTCTACAAATATTTGTAAATTGCCTACGATGTACCATAGTTGATAGGGAGGAATAACACCTGCAAGGAGTTCACCCAGTAGATCCTTGAAAAGAAAGACATGGAACCCACTCCGCCTTGTTCTCCCAGGCTGTTTCTCGTGGAGGAATCTAGTTATAAAAACTGACAATAGTTGGGTGTGGTGGCACAGGCTCGGGAGACTGAGGCAGGATTGTGAGTTCAAAGCCAGCCTCAGCAATTTAGCAAGGCCCTAAGCAACTTAGCAAGACCCTGCCTCAAAATAAAATATAAAAAGGGCTCAGTGGTTAAGCACCTCTGGGTTCAATCCCCAGTACCAAAAACCACCCCCCAAAAAACAAAACAAAAAACAAAATGAACAATATGTAGCTGCATGAAAAAGCACAAGTTCATGTTTTTACTTTGCAATAAAAGAAAAAACACATACCAACTACTTCATAAAAATCACTCATTTGGTAATAAATTACATATTATTTATATTATATATATGGCTAGCTGTAGGGTGTTGTTGGAAGATTTTATATATATATCTTTATTGTTTGCTAAATTTTCTCCTTATTTATCCTGGTTACTAGTACATTGTCCATTGTGTGTGTTGCAAATGGTCCCTCCTTGTTTGTCCTTGGCCTTCTGTGGACCTTAAGCTCCCTGCAGGAGCTTATTCAATATGTCCTTCATGTTTTCTACAAAACATGCCTAGAAGAGTAGAAGACGAGTACCTACCTGATAGCTATTGTTGATACATAAAGAAGTACAGAGATTTTACCTTGGAGGAACTGGTAGCCTAGGGCACAGCGAGTTTGCATTTGGATTCCGGGTGTAGTTGAAGGAATTCAAGTTATAGATGCACAGGAAAGACCCTGAAAGCAGAAGACACAGACAGTACTATTTTCCTAAATTAGACCCATTTTCCTGGGGGAAGCCACTAAAGAAATCACAGCATTTTGCCAAGCCAGAAGGAGATGGAATACATTCCCTGGATTTAGGAACCAGGTGACTTAAAAACAAAATGAATAAACACACAATTTTAGATTGAGTTAGGGTCTCTTTTCTCTCTCTCTTCAAAACCACAAATTTAAAACTAAACATTAAATGATTGGTACTAAAATGATTTGAAGGATATTTGAAGATAATTTATTGCAGGAGCTTGATATTTTTAATTTGGCTTTGCAAATAATTTTTTAAAATCTGGCATTGTATTTCTTAGGCAGATAAAATTTGCAGGGGGCTGCCTCACATTCCTTTTCCTTCCTTTGTTTGTTTAATTCTTAAAACAAAAATCTGAACCAGTGAGTCCAGAGCAAGTATTTCAGCTACATGAATGCTTTTGGTACAGTTTATGGTTATTCAACAAGTCAACAAAAGTATCTACCGGCCCTAACAATTTCATCAAAGAACCAACTTGTAGGCAATTTGACCTGAAGCCTCAGGCCTTAAGAATCTGCTGTCTCTCAGGTGGTAGTGGTACATGCTTATTCTCCCAGCAACTCCAGAGGCTTGCAAGTTTCTAGATGTTCATCAGGAGGATTGCAAGCTCAAGGTCAGCCTCAAAAACTTAGACTGCATCTCATAATAAAAAGTCTGGGGATGTAGTTTTGTGGGAGTGTGTTTATGGGTTCAATCCTCAGTACCACGAAAAATAAAACTTTTTAAAAAAGATATAATTTTAAAAAAAGAGTCTGCTATCTCTTTTGTGCTCTCTGTGGAAGACCACTTTGCTGCAGGGAGCAGGGAGCAGGCGCCAAACAGCCTAGGTTTCATAAATCCAGAGAGGCTGGAATGAAATTGAATAAGCTCATGAGAAAATGTTTAAGTCCTTTTCCACACAAGATGAGGCACCTCCAAAGAAGTAGCTTTCCAGAGAAAGCAGGGTCAGGCTAAATTACCCCATCTAGGTCCTCACAGTTTACTCCACTGTGGGAAGGTGTGGCAGGGAGAGCAAACTTGCCCCTTGGTGCCTACCACTGGTGTTTGCAAAGAGCTGAACCTCTTCCAAGGTGTTGAGCTGCTCTTCAGGACAGCTGGACACGCAGAGGGCAGTGGAACCAAGCTTCCTATCTTTGATATCCGGTTTGCAGGAATTCATAAAGAACACATGTCTAAGGAGACAAATGAAGCAGAAGCATGTCTTAGAGCATGGCCTCTCATTGGATCTAACTGTAGACTTTAAAAAGTATCTACATACTGCCAACTATGAGAATTAATAAGGCAAACTTTTAATCAAATGCTTCAGCATCATTGAATATATATTATGCCAACCCAGGGTCATCTACAGAGTAGTACAGTTTGTGAACCATACTCAAATGTTAACAAAACTTTCCTTCTCCAGATTTAGCATTTTCAGGGCATAATTCTGGGAGGTACCTGAGGGAGAGAAGGCGTTAGTTAAACTGCCCATAGATTGCCAGATATGGATGCATAAATTACTCACTGGCCTCCCTGCCAAATATATCCCACCCAAGAGTGTTCAAATAAACTCCAGAGAACAGCTGAACACAGAATACAGGGAAGTGACACATGGAAAGGAGAAAGTGGCCAATGTTGGGAACTAAGCGCAGTTTAAGAGTCAGGACATTTAAACGACCCTGCCTACAGCTGCCCAGCGGCTGGGTAAGATAGGGCAGAGAACAAAATTAGGCCCAGCCATCTGTGCATGCCTGTAATCTCAGTGGCTCAGGAGGCTGAGGCAGGAAGATCACAAGTTCAAAGTCAGCCTCAGTAATTTAGGGGGGTTCTAAGCAACTTAGAAAGACCCTGTCTCTAAACTAAGGGGAAAAAAAGCTGGGGTGTGGCTCAGTGGTCAAGTGCCCCTGGGTCCAATCCCCAGACCCAAAGGAAACAAAACAACAACAAAAAACTGGTATTACCATTCGTGGTTCATTTGCAGGCAGTGGCAGCTCTTGTGCCACTGTCTAACACATATCCAGGCGGCTGAAATCAGGAATGTCAAAGGAAGAGCCCTTTGACATAGCTCTGCTATGGGAGAGGCCTTGAGGAAGGGTCTCAGAAGCCACTTTCCCTCCAGCTGAGGATGGCAGGAAGGGAGGTGGTGCACAAAGAGAAGGGGGACCCATGTCCTGGGTGTTTTGGAAAATAGATATTTTGTTTTTAAAAATTTTTAAATTGTGCTAAAATAGACATAGAATTTACCATCTTGGCCATTTACAGTTCGGTCTGTGGCATTAAGCACACTCACTGTGCGGCTACCACGTGTTGCCATCCCCACCGTCCATCACAGACCTCTTTCCCTCTGGCAAAATGGAAACTCTGTTCCCAGGAGACAGTCACTCCCCATTCTCCCTGCTCCTCCCTCTGGAAACCATGCTTTTCCTGTTTCTGAGGATGACTACTTTAGCTACCTCTTAAGCGGAATCCCCCTTCCTTTTAGTGATTCTATTACATTATAGAAAATATCAGTAACAATATTTTTTGTGCCCTAGCTATCGCAGTTATCCTTAGGCAAGCTGTGAGATGGGTATAATAATTACAAACTGGGCTCAGAGAGGCAAGGGATTCTGCCCGAGGCCACAGAGCTGAAAAGCAGCAGAGGTTGAAGCTGCACCTAGGACGGCACAGCTGCACCCTCACCAGCGCGGACACACACACACACACACACACACACACACACACACACACACACACAGGACCCTCCTACTAATGAGAGGGGCTGACAGTTTTGAATAGGAAAACAGTTTCCAGACTCTAAACCACAAATTTGTACAGCTTTGAAACACAGTCCCTCTACTGGTTGGGGACTTAACTCCGACACTTACTTTTTTAGGGTCATGTCTTGCCCTGAAAGAGGGGCCCCTTGCACTGGGGAGTTCCTCTTGCCACACACGTTGCCAAAGCTGTCATAGCCGAACAGGAGTCTTGCTGTGGCTCCAGCCACTGCCGAGTAGCCCATGATGAACATCTAGAAAAGCCCAGGGACACATGAGCTGAAAAGCAGCAGAGGTTGAAGCTACACCACAGGACGCAAGACATGGTGCCCCTGTCCCTGAAGATGTCCATATAAGATGGAACCAGGTGAAACACAAATCTCTCCAGCTCCACCGCAGTTCCCTCCTTGAGAAGCAACAACTGAATCTGCTTAGTATCCTGCCATTTGAGTCTGGGTTTTAGCAGGTTAGGTGTGTGTGTGTGGGGGGTTTAGCAACCTGAAACACGTAGATTCCTCTCCATTTTCTTACCTCTTCACCTTCTGACTTTCTTCAGGAATCTGTCAATTTTTGTTTTTTGACACATTTCACTGGGTCAACTAATTTTTTTTTCCTTGAGATTTTTGGATTATCTAAGTGCATCAAGGCCAGGCTCATTATTTCCCCCAAGTTTTCTTTCTTTTTTCTTAAAAAAATTTTTTGGGAGGGTCTTTTAGTGATCTCTGTAAAGGTCACAGTTGAAGTGGATTAAAATATTATTTACAAGAAGCCTTAAAATAGTGTTTTGGAGTAACTGCTTAAATTTACAAAATAGAGAACTTAAGAAAAAGAATTTCAGGAATTCTGTTGGACACAAATATCTTGCAATCAATAGTCTTTTTTTTTTTTTTTTTTTTGTACTGGGGATTGAACCCAGGGGGACTTGACCACTGGGCTACATCCACAGTCTTTTAATTTTTAAATTTTATTTTAAGACAGAGTCTTGCAAAGTTGCTGAGAGTTTCACTAAGTTGCTAAGGGTGACTTCCAACTTGAAGTCCTCCTTCCTTAGCTGGGACTATAGGCTTGAGGCCTCCATACCAGGCTTGATGGTCATTTTTATCTAATTTTATAGTGAATGTGGAATATTTGAAATTTCAGTTCAAACAACTATTCATTGGTATGCATTACCAGGCCTTCTGCCAATATTGAATATGTTTCTTCCCATAACACAAATTTAGTGTTGCTAGTTTCCCAAAATACAATACCTACTTAGAATACTGTTTAGTATTTGATGCAAACAAGCTCATTGTGGGACCAAGTATATAGTATACCACTCAGTAACATGCCATATGGATATATGTTCCAAAGGGGTATCCAAAGTCAAATACATTTCAGAGATTCTGCTTTCAATACTAATTTGGAAGTAAAAGTACCAAACATTCTTTAAGTGTCAAGTGTGTTCCAGAGACTCTGTTGGAGTATCCAAGGATGAACAAAATATAGTCCCTGTCCTCAAGAAACTCAGCTTAGAGGATATGGGGGAAAAGGTATACTCTTACATTGCCAGTGGGACTGAAAATTGGTGCAACACTCTGGAAAGCATGAGGATTCTTTGAAAACTTGGAATCGAACCACCATTTGATCCAGCTATCCCACTCCTTGGTTTATACCCAAAGGACTTAATATCAGTATAATACAATTTATAGTATATCAATGTTTATGGCAGCTCAAATCACAATAGCTAAGCTAGGGAACTAGCCTAGGAGCCCTTCAACAGAAATTTGAATGGATAAAGAAAATGTGGTACATATACGCAATGGAATATTACTGAGCCTTAAAGAAGAATGAAATTATGGCACTTGCCAGTAAATGGATGGAACTGGAGAATATCATGCTAAGCAAAATAAGCCAATCCCAAAGAACCAAAGGCTGATTGTTTTCTCTAATATGTGGATGCTAATTCACAATAAAGTGGGGTGGTTAGGGAAGAATAGAGGTACTTTGGATTAGACAGAGGGGAATAAAAAGAGGCGAGGGGGGTGTGGAAGTAGGAATGACAGTAGAATGTATTGGACATGATTACCCTATGTGCATATATGATTACACAACAGGTGTACCTCTACATCATGTACAACCAGAAGAATGAGAAGTTATACTCCATTTATGTATGATGTGTCAAAATGCATTCTATGTCATGTAAAACTAATTAGAACTAATAAAAATAAAACAAAATAAAATAAAAAGAAACTCAGCCTAGAAAAGAGTAGGACTTTTCAGCTCAGACCTTGAGCTTCCTGCTCCTGCACTTTCCAGGGTTCTCTGTGATCTGAGACCAGATTTGAGAATGAGTAGATCATTCATTGAGAATGAATAGGTCCCCTTACTAGTAGACAGGCTCTCACTCCTTTAAAGGCTGTGGATGTAGAGATGACTCTGTGCCCACAAAGCTGGCATGGTAAGCTTACCCAGCAATGACATGCCCACCTCCTGTCCTTCTGACTTGCAGCACAGCAAATAAGGTCCTGATTGCATTTGGGCTCAGGGGGAAGAGAAGGTTTTTATACTTCTACACAGCTCACTAGAGACCTAATTATGAAGTGACATTTTTCATTTGCCATGAGAGTGTATGTGATCTCTTCATTGGAAAGCTTGTGGGGAGAAATGGAAAGTTTTTAGGAGGAAGTAGGAATAGGATTTGAGTTTTCCTGAGTCCCTGCCATAACACAACTAGTACCCTAAACCATCATTGTTCTTATTGCAAACATACATGTGCAATTGCACTTGAGAGGTGATACAGGAGGTTGTGGCCACCAAAGAGATTACTGTCAATGTGCATGGGGAATATTAGGAAATGGAGACTTGAAATATGAATAGAAAAGGACCAGGTGGGAGGGTATCGTGGGGAGGTAAGTAGAAGCAGAGTTGACCCAGAGTTGGAGATGTTCTGTTCTGTGTATTTTATGCAAACATAAGCACTAGCTGGTGCTTTTCCTATCTGCAAGAGACCATAGTTGTAATTCAGACATCTTCCCCCAAGTCTTTATTGTCTAGCCCAAACTCAGGGCAGCACCATCAATAATAATCCTGTCCAGTATATCACCCGTTAGAACATCTGTCACAAGACAAGAAGCAGATCCGCAAAGACAGGGGGGGAAAAACCTTTTTCTGTATTTTAAATATGTTCTGTGGCTAAAAATGTTGCAGAAGCTACAAAAAGTCAACCAAGAAAGGACTCTCCTTATTAAATCTGAACTCAGTGAAGAGAACTTGGATATATGGAAACCTTCAGATTTATTCTGCAAATACAGTGTAATTTTAAAGCACTTTCTAGCTTCATGTCATGTTTCAGCTGGTTCATAATTTTTCAGGCTGTAGTGCACCATCTATAAATCCTTCCCACAGACAGTTGCTGGGCTGAGATTTGGAAGTGATGTATTAGCTTTGAACCATAGAGGGGTTAGGGAAGATCGATAAATGACAATAGCAGTCCAAGGTCAAAGCTGTCAGGGACAAGGCAGGACAGCTGCTCCCTGCACGGATACAATAGCAGATCCAGATAAAAGCACCTGCCATCTGTGGGGAAGGGAGGCAGAAGGTGTTGTAGGTGAACTGTCTYTCTCAGCTCCTTGAGGCCATGGTATAAACAGCATCAGCAACAACATAAAAGTGGTATGCCTTTCAGGCCAACCTGCCACTGTGCCTGTAATCCAGTCTGGCTATGTGAAACCAGTCTGCAAAGTCAACAAGTGAACACATGAATGCTTTACTTACTTAGAACAATGAACATGATATTTTAGGGTCTATTCTAATTGAACTCTTTCAACAAAGATAGTTACTAACTGGTAGTTATTATCAGGTTTTATAAATTAATCATTTACCAAGCAGCAAATAGCATGCCTCAACCTGGCATGGAAAATTTCAAGAACATGGCCTTTGAAAAAAGTTGAGTGAGACTTTTTCTGCGGCATTTACAACTCTAAAATAAGTATAAATGTGTCAAGGTTCAGCTTCCAAGAGACTCTCCCAGGACTAACATGGCACAGCTGGATGAGGTCTACCAGCAACTACCTGGAAACTAGAGTGGGAACAGTTATTACCTACTTACCTAAAGGGCCCATTCCAAGATACTAAACACAATATACCAAGAGTGTGTATGCATTTCAGAGTTTCTAGGCTCTCTCTGGATTTGCCTTTGTTAGAGGCTAGCAAAAACTTGAGGAATATTTGATTTAGGGGTTTGACAGATGGTAAGAGAGCTTCCAGAGAGCTCAGATAATTCTCACTGGCCTTACTACACAATGATCACAGCAAACTCTGATTCTCAGTTTCCTAATGGAGTTAACCAGTGGAGCCTGCAGCAAGACAGATTCCACAGCAAGTGCCAGACAAGAATTCCCCAGGACAAAGGTTCATTCTGGGCTAATGACATAAGTTTTTCATTACAGCATAAACTTTAAGCAATTAACGTTTGAGGCACATTTATTTCGGAACACACATACTGGCCTCTTCCCTGACAAGCAGCTACGCTTACCAAACCGGTCCAGAAGAAAAAGAACAGGAACAGCCATGCTGTATCTGTGCATTTCCTATAAATCTGGGGTCGCCACTCTCTTTGCCTGGGAGCTCTCTCTTCAGAAACCTTCCAGAAAAAAAGGAGAGGTGAGAAAAAGAATAAACAACCAAGTAGACACCCAACCTCACAGAGCGGATGTTAAATCCCCAGCCACCAAGTTCTTAACCTGGAGGTGCACCTGACCACAGCACCCCTGTCCCACCTCGTGGCCAGAGTCTCCCTCATCTCTGCCCCAGCACCTGAGTGAGGACCCAGAGTCCTCCTGGCCAGGTGCCCTCGGGGTATGGAGGTGCCTGACCAGAGGCTTATCCCCGAGCGCTGGGGGCAGCAGTGTCCCGGCAGGGCAGGTGGCAGGTGCCTGCAGGAATCAGCCTCGACTCCTCCCTCCGGGTTCTAATCCAAAGTTGCAGGCACTCACCAGGTACTCGGCGCCCAGGCACTGCATCGTGTCCTCGGTGGCTCGGTTGGGGACTCCCAGCGGCCGCGGCCGCGGTGCGCGCTGAGCTCAGACGCCCGGGCCGGTCCGCCGAGGAGGGACGGAGGGAGCAGTGCTGCACAGCGGCCGCCTCCGCGCGCCCTGCGCTGGGCCCTGGGCGCCTTCCCCCGCGGCCCTGGGTTGAGATCCGCCCTTTCTCTGCCTTGATTTCCTGCTTAGCTCTTTCCTCTGTGGCCGGCGTCCTGCCCTGTTTGGAGAAGAGGTCCAGGACACCTCGCTGCCGGCCGGATCAACCACCTGCGCGGCAGTGGCGCCCAGGATGTCGCCTAACCTCTGCAAGCGCCACGGCCGGGGCAGAGCCTGCCGCGCCACGACCCAGGGCGGGCCCTCCTGCGGCCTGATGTAGGTGTTCTGCCACCGCAGTGAGCAGGAAGTGAAGTCTCACCTCATTGTCCTGCGGGGTGGGGAAGTTAGAGCTCTGTGTGACAGGTGAGCAGCAATTACTGTGTGCCATATTCTGCTGTGCCCGCTTTACAGGCATTCTTCAATAACCATCAGGCGGAAGCTACTGTTACCCCCAATCTACAGGTGAGGAAAACAGAGGCACAGAACAGCGGTGTTGTAACTTGAGGAGACGCAGCTAGGAAGTTGTAGAGAGGCAAGAACTGAACCCAGCACTCCAAGAGGCAGGCTCTCCAGGTGGCTCCTCCAGCAACACTTCGGTGTCTCCCCTGCAGCTTCTGTTTCTACAGGACGGTGTATCCCGAGGCTGCCAGGCTGTCTCCCCACTGTCTACCCTAGAGAATCGCGGGTTCCAGGTACTACAGTGAGAACCAAACCTGCAGAGCCTGGAGACTGCCTTAATTCTTGAGTGTGTGGGAGGCGGCTGGGACCAAGTATTTTAGATTCCGGCCTCACCTCTCCCTGCATTGCGTCGGGTTGATCATTGCCTGACTTTACAGTTGAAATGTCAGCAACCCCTGAGGCAAGGGCGGGCAGGGCAGTTTTCCGGGTCACATCCAGATCAGCAGAGAAGTGCTGCTGGGGTGAGGATTAATAAAAAGACTGTAGATGATCGTCTCTCCCTGTCCCCCTTTCTCCACTCATCACTTGTGTCCTTCCTCCAAGCCCTCAGGGCTGCTAGATCATTGTTTACTTTCAGTGTGGCTTCTTTGAATACGTGTGTGTGTGTGTGTGTTTGTGTGTGTGTGTGTGTGTGTGTGTGTGTGTGTGTGTGTGTGTGTGTGAGAGAGAGAGAGAGAGAGAGAGAGAATGAATGCGAGCGAGCCAGCACTGGGGATTGAACCTAGGGCCTGCCACACTTTAAGCATGCGGCCTGCCACTAAGCTGCATCAGAAACCTAACTGCATTTCTTGGAAATGAAGTTTTTTCCTTAAAATAACAGTCCAAATTTTATTTTTATTATATGAGACTTATTATATTGTGCTTCTTTCAAAACTTGCCAGTTGAGCTAGATTAGATTTAAAGACAGCTATTATTAAAACATTCTTGTAGTGATATATTTACTTAATTTGTGTCCATTTTTACTGGGTTGTAAATATATATTCTTGAAAGGTAAATTGTAGTTCTTAAGATGTATGCTTTTCACATTGACATATATTTGTATCAGAGATATTTGTCTTGGTTTGTCATAAATGGTTACTGTCAGATCAGACGGGGGAGGCTTTATTGAGATATCACTCCCAGGCGGAACTCGATCAGACCCACAGAGAGGACAGGAGAAGGGTCTGAGGACAAACCACGTGGAAGCCCCACGTGACTGGACTTTTATGGGGCTTACAGCAGGAAGGGAAGGGCTTGGGACAGGAAAAGGTGTTTCTAGGGTCTTTTGCCCCCTTGGAGTTGGTCAGGGGAGTTGGCTGAACTCCAGTATTGGCCAGGGGGTCCTGCTGATTGACAGGAGTTAGTCAGGAGATCTGGCTGATTGACAGGCCTTTCCAGCGGCATCCAATTGATGTTCTTTTCCTGTGCGGGCTGCTTTGTTCTAAGTTGCCACTAAGTCGCCACCACCGACCTAACAGTTACAACCAATGTCAAATCTATAGAGACCAAAAGTTTCTTAGTAGATCATTCAAACTTAGTTTGCTCATTTGTCTATAGCTCTGGTATTCAGCCAGAAATGGAACAGAGGTGAGACATATAAAATGCTGAAATTTATTCTCTCCATACTTGAATAAAGTTATAATTTAGAAAAATGGACGAGTCTCTGGAAGGCAGTTTCAGTAGCTCTCCAAGGCCAGGTCTTTTTACCAATATGACCCTTGTTTTTCTCATAATTAAAAACTCATTGAGCCTTGAGTTCTTCCCATTCCTAAGCCAACTAATTAGTTTTCACATAAAGGTACTGACTGCTGTCCTCAGGTCATTTTGCTTTCTTTGGCTATTTGTATTATTATTTTTTTTAATTTTATTTTTTATTCTAATTTGTTATATATGACAGCAGAATGCATTACAATCCATATTACACATATAGAGTACATTTTTTCATATTTCTGATTGTATACAAAGTATATTCACACCACTCATGTCTTCTAACTGGTATAAATTTAACTATTAAAGAGTTGGTGTGCTTATTTAATTAAACATTATAAACTGAAAACATATTCAGTATTGCTATGATATGGAAAAAGGGTTATATTGATTAATATTAATATATAAATGTGACTTGTACAATATCTATTCAATGCCAAACTGAATGGAAAAAAATTAAAAAGCATAGAGATACTAAATATCTGAGTATTTGCAAATATTTAAACTGATATTCCCTAAATTGTCAGTGATTATAGTAATAAATGCAAAAATGATTTGGTGAATGTATGATTCCTTGTCTGTATATCTATCATAATGTTTATACAAGTTATTTGCATGGGAAGGTGAAGAAAAATATATATATTTCTGCAAAATACAAGAACAATGATTTCATTTGTGTTTTACTTTCCTTATTAATACAAGCTGAGGATCACTAGGTATGAGACTGAATTTACAAAATTTAGCACACCCTCAGTTGTTTGGATTATTCTAGTACAGCTTTTGTTAAAATTAAGGAGCAGAGTTAAAATAGATAAATAAACCTAAGTTTAAAAAAAAAAAAAAAAGAAAAGAAACCCAACTGCAGATCCAGAAACTTTTTTCTGTGCTCATTGCCACCTCCACCTCCAAACTCAATGGGTGTCCCTGGATGCATATTTATCAGACAGAGGTAGCTGAACATCCAGGGGGACACAAATTCACAGGACAAACAAGTAGACAAGGATCACCACTATTAAAATGTCACAGCAGAATAACATTAATCTATCAGAAACTGAACCAATGGACCCAGAGTTGTAAATACACAATAGATATCTTTAAGGAGATGACATACGATAATAGCAATGTGAGGCAGGAAAAAATAACAGGAAACTAAACCAAACAGATATTAGACATGAAGAATATAATGATTAGAATGACTGTTTATTGCTTCTATTTATTAATAATGTGAAACAAATAGTAGAATAGATGCAACTAAAGATGAATTAGTAATTGGAAGAACAGTTTCAACAACTCTTCAGAGTTTGAATAAGGTAGCTCATTTAAAAATTTTCCAATGTATCCAGGATAGATGTAGAACAGAAAAGGAGTGATAAGAAAGTGAAGAGGAGAAAATACTTGAAGATATACTGGAGATAAATTCCGAAGTTGAAAGAAAGAAATCAGTATCATATGGAAAGGGCACACTCTATCTATCTATCTATACGCACACATATCACTTACATATAAAATATATTTATGCATAATAAAATAATTTTGAATGCATTATTTTCTATTATACATATAATMTTCTACTATGAAATGTAAGGATATAATAAAAATATTTATGTGAAGACCCAGTTGGAGGCTATTCTTGGAGGAAGTAATCAGACAAGAAGAAAAAACAAACTTGGGATGAAACTATAGATATAGCAAGAGAGCGACACAATATTCAGGATAAATTTACTGTTGTCTTAGAACAAAGGCTAGGAGCTTTATTCATAGTTATATATATATTTAAAAAAAAACTAGGAACAACACAAATATGCAGGAATTGGTGAATGGCACAGACTGTGAGACCTCTGTAGGACGGAATGTCTCTCAGCATAAGAAAGGAACAAACATATAGGCAGCAGCGACWCGGGTGGGTCTCAAAAGCATGTCAAGTGAAAGAAGCCAGGTGTAGTAAACAATTCTATGATTCCCACTTTTGTGACATTCTGAAAAAGGCAAAAGTACAGGGGTAGAAAATAGATCAGTGCTTGTCAGATGCTGGGGTGAGGAGCCTGAGGGAACTTTCTGAAGTGATGGAAATAATCTATCATGTAGTGATTACCCAGTGGTATCTGTCAAAACTTACAGAATTAGACACCATAAGAGGTGGATTTTATTGTAGGTACACTGTTTTTTTTTAGAATTGGCTTTTTTAAACTAAAAAAAAAAATTGTTTAGAAACAAAGAAGAGTATATCCATAACAACCCAGAACTAAAATCCTAGGCAGCACTAATATTGTGCAGGGTATGGGATTCAGAGAGAAGTGAAGGCCACAGCAACACCTCAGTGGTTTAAAGAAGTGCTACTTRCAGGGTGGTTCACCAGGTATGTGTTAAAGGTTCTCCATGAGATAAGGGGCTGGTACCAGACGCAAATCGGCTATGTCACAGCAAACTCCAGTTCACTGGACATYATTTTTATAGCAATACATTCTTGCTATGAAGAAAGGGTGTGTTGATTTGTATCCAGACTCAAGACCCTTGTTTCATCCTAGAAAGGTACTTTCTCTGACTAGTACTAGGTTAGACTACTATCTTATTTAGGAGGAAGATGAGACTATAGAGCATTTTAAAACATTGATAGAAATGAGTATTTAATATTTATAAATTTGGATTTTAAGGGTAGCTCCATAAAAAGAAAAAAATAGATTATATATAATCTATATGGGTATACATGTATATAATCTATATACATATATAATCTATATATGGAGAATGTGTGAGTGTGTGTGTTTTCTTGTGGGAGAAATCT